AACTCTAGCCTATCAAAAATGCCCTTTATTTCAAAATTTCAATGTTTAAATTCCATCCCGGTTTTAACATTCGATCATGCCCTTTCTCAATCAACATTGTTACGACTGAATAATATTGTAATTTAGTGAAGAAAATCTTCCATGGTTTCCTGCAGTTAAATAAGAAAAATCACTTCTATCATAAATGATTTGTTGCATACTTATTTTTGTCATATTAAGGAACTTGGTCTGGAGAGAATTAAGACAACAATGCCACAAGAAAGCAACTCCAATTCACTATTCAACAGTCCCAGCAAGAACCTAAGAGGATTCAAGGGATTAGTCTACAACAATAATGAAGCATCTTATACTGAAGAGATCATTAGCACAGAGAAAAGCCGATGAAGCAGGTAATATTTTCATACTGAAACCAAAAAATATAAAAAAATCAATATTGTTAAGTTAGAAGTAGTAGTTAACTTTGCCGCATGAACAATCTAGATTTCGTGTTCAAAAGCTAGAAGGTTATGCTATTGAAAATGTTGAAAAAGCCGAGTGGTGCTCGTACTCGACTTGTTTTTGCCACATTGGGCCCATCAAATTAAAGAATTCTAGACATCATGGTTTCAAAACCACCCTTAGTTATTCTGTTTTGCACCACTCATAAAGAATGTAGTGACTTGCATAATTAGCCATCTTATTCTGGGATGCTTTTGTTGTGCAATTTAAATGATGTTCTCATCTAACGGTTGGTTGGTTTCACTTAAGGGTGGCAAAAGGGACTGGCCGCTCGTCAACTCAGTGCTCGAGTCGTCTCTACTCAACTTATGGACAACTTTGAGCTCATATCGAGACGAATCATATTTCATGAGTTCACAAACTGACTGATTTTGAGCTTATTTTATTAATTTCTCCAAAAATAAGATGGTTTGTACTTTGTTAGCTCGTGGATGATTCACCTCGGCCCATGAAACTAACAAGATAAAAGACTGCATCGAGCCCAATTTATGGACTCAAGCCAAGATGACTCAACTCATAATTATACCTAGTTTCAACTATCATCTTTCCTTCCTACATTTGGGAGAAATTTTAATCAGAATTTTAATTAAAAATCTAACAATTAACTATCAAATCAGCCACCA